ATACTTTCAGTTCTTCATTTATTAGGAAGCAAGCGTACTGTCTTCATGAATCAGTGAAAACACTCAAATACGATAATGTTCTGCGTGAGGATGACTCGATGTTCTCGCGTATAGCTCTGAATTTTGTCTAGGGATTCTATGTTCTAATCAATAATATGGACGTCCTCACACGTGTAGAAGTGCCTCCCATCCCATCAAACTCTATAAGGTCCCAGTGAACAGGAAGCTTCGCTGTCTTTACCACCTGCATTCTCAACTTTTCCCCAAGCCGATAGATTGACAAAGGAGAAAAAAGATGTGCCCTTTGCATTTTGAACATTCTCTTCATGTGTTTTGCCTAAAAATGGCACTGATTCCTGGCCTAGATATACAATAACCCATTCCTATCCAGGTCGGCTTGACTACTTTGCGCCAATGGTATGCTAAAAACTGCCGTGTCGTATACGATACGAAAGTATTTGCCCGATATACGCTAGCTTAGGACTTTTGGTCTATTACAGAAATCCTCTGATCCCTCTGAGAATCTGTAAAGGCTGCGTATATAAATGTCGCTAGTGTTCCTTACCTAGCAGCTCGTACGCATGCGCAAGCCAATATTGTGCCGCAATGCTGTCGCGGTGATTCGCGTCTAATATTTCTTCATGTATTCTTACTACATGGTGAAGTAAATCAATCGCATCATTAATCCGTCTATCTTTTAGATATGCCCTAGCAAGCGCATGTTCGGGTGCTAATCGATCGCGGTGGTCTTCTGGAAGCGCTTTCCGAACCCTTACAACGTGCTCAAATAAACATATCGCTTCGCCGATCCTGCCGTCTTCGTAATATGCCGAAGCGAGCCCGTACTCTGAATGCAATCGATCAAAATTGTCTTCTGGGAGAACATTCCGGGCTACTACTACGTATTGGAATAATGCAATTGCCTCCTCAATTTGGCCATCCTCTCGGTATGCCCTAGCAAGCATGATTTCCGACCTCAGTCGTCTCTCGTCATCTTCTGCGTATATCTTTTTTTTGATTGCTACAACACGTCCTAGTAATTCCATAGCCTCCTTAGGTTGTCCACTTTCCAAATATGCGAGGGCGAGTCCGTGTTCTGACGCTAACCGATGACCATCTATTTCTAGACAGATATTCTTTCTGACTCTTACGACGTGTTCGAATATTGCGATTGCTTCCTTAGTCTGCCCAACGTCAGTGTAGGCGTTAGCGAGTCCGTGTTCGAGTGATAGTCGAAATTTATCGTTCTCTGGAAGTTCTTTTGCCCATTGGAAGGCTTCCTCGAAGAGCCATATGGATTCCTTGAATCTCCAATCCTGTTGTAGAGCATGCCCCACCAATTTAAATAAAGTAAATGTGTCCTGAAACTTGTGCTCGCTGCTTTCATGTAGAACCTTAAGAGTATGTGGCAAATAAGTTCGCCATAATTCGCGGTTCGTATAGTGCCAACTCGGGAAGATCCCATTAATATGAACGATCGCATCGCATGTGATCTCTGAGGTAAGACCATGTCTTTGTATCCAAATACGTGCCCCGAGATGCACAAGGCGATGCATGTCAAATACTTGGTTGGTTTGGTAACCATAGCGTCTGGTTAGGAAATTGTAGATGCACAGGGTGTCAATTGCATCTTCCAGTTGCTGCCTCGTCTGAAATGTGGGAAGGATCGACTGAGGTATCGCTTTCGGCTCAAGGCGTGAGATGAATCCTAGTAGTTTGGCAGCAGCATCATTAGACTGCCGGATCTGATCAAAAGACACAAGCCAGGTTGTCGCAACAGCATTCTGTGAAGTAGAATAACGAAAGTCATCTCGAAACTCCTTGCCCATCAAGACTGTCATATCTTGTTCTGTATTTCGCAAGCGGCTTAAATATTGTCGAATTGGCAATTTCGTGGTATTCAGGTAGGCGATTGCTTGCTTGATTGCTAAGGGGAGATACGCAAGTTCATGTGCAAGCTCTTTTGCCATTTCCTCATCGTATTCGACTAGCGACTTCTTTAGAAAGCCGAGGGCCTCTTGTAGGTCCATCTCCGGCAGCTCAATCATGTCGTTTTCAGAACAAGATTGAGCTACTTCCCGAGAGCGCGTAGTGAATAGAGTAAGTCCGTCCCTACTTTCTGGCAGATATTGCTTGATGCCGACCGCATCGGGAGGGCCGTAAAGTAGGTCCATATCATCGGCATTGTCCACAATCAGGAGCCACTTTCCAGCTTCATTGGAGTTTAAAAAACGTCGTACTAACTCAATAGTATCTTCGTTGCCCGATTTCTTGATGGGAAGTTCTGTTGCCATTTCCGTGTATGCTTGCTCAAAAGTCGCTTTACTTACAGCCGGTACCCAGAAGATAGAGTACTCCGGCTTATTTACCTTTGTCCAGTATGCAAGCTGTAAGGCAACTTGGGTTTTACCAATGCCGCCAAGTCCAACAAGTGCTACTTGTTGACAATTATCTTCAAATAGCATGCGTCTTAATGTATCGAGTATTGTGCCTCGCCCAACAAAGCGCTTATTCCTGGGGAAAGGGACATAGAATCGTGTATGGACTATGCGAATGTTAGTAGGCAACATTGGCATAGCAGTATTCTTCCTACACTAACTGCTTGTGGTTCCGCCGCGTTCCCGTCCCCCGGAAACACCAACAAATCCATCCACAAACTGCTTAATGGCTCTCTGGTTCTTGTTGAGATAATTGTTTGTATGCGCAGAGATCTTGCTTGCCTTCTCCCAATCGGATAGTGTGACATCTTCTAAGCCGTGGTCGACATTGAACCTGTGATACTGGCCGCTATCGTCATATTGGCTGTCCAGGTCTGCCGCTATCTTATTCGAGGTCGTAGCCATGGACGTTAGAGCTTTTATGATAGAACGCCTGGAGTCCTTGATGGTAACGACACCTCCGAGACCAGTGCCAATACTGAGAATTTGTAAGGAATCGCGCCCAGGAAACTGTCCTCGAGCCTCATTAATGAGGACTTTGCAGGGGTTGTTATGACCAAATCCCGCATCGATGAATTCTACCTGGTCCCGGCCAAGTTTGATGGACTTGAAAAAGGTAGTCGCAGCCGAGGTTGCACGGGCTATTTCCCAAATGGTACAACCCTGGAGGTGAGTAGATGTGTCGCATGTTGTAATAAGTGTGGGCAGCGTATCAGCATCTTCCTTTGTAATGGCGAGGACAACACTATAAGATGTTAGCTTAAAGGTGCTTTTAAGTCATTGATGTTTTGTCAAAGACCATACGTCTTGGTACACGAAACGCTACGAAATTCCAAGTCCTCGTGTGAGCATGTCTCAGCTGTCGAGTGGCCTTGGGATCGTCGAGCGGCACATGGAGCTTCAGTGCAAAAATCTTTGACTGTCTGTTTGATTGCAGCCTCGAGGGCTTTGGCAGAGTAGGCACCCCTCGGCGGGGCGATAGGAAAGGAGTTCCGCTTCGGGGTGAAGGCACGCTCAGCGACTTTATCATATGCCCGTATGCACTCATCAACACTCATGCTCAACCTTCCAAGCATGATTGCGATGATCCTAGATGCAGTTAGCAGAAATATTTAGCAGGCGAAAAAGTTGCCGTACCCGCCCGTGCTAGTACCGCCGATTAAATCGAAATAATCGCATGGTTTAGGTACCAGATCGAGGCCTTTAGCTTTTCGAATGCCTTCCATGATATTCTCCAATATCAGGAGGCTAGACTTTCCACGAATGCCACCCCCATCTTAATGTATTAGCGTCGTAGACCATGCTTGGGACCTTCGCTTACCGAGAGAAAGGATCCTCAGCGGAGGAGCGGGGGCCTCTTGCGCATTCATCGGTTCCACCGATTTTCAACGACGGTGCGGCCCGTTTATAGCGTAGACTCGAATGTTTGTGGATCTTACGTGATCGCGAAACCGTTACTGTAGAACCTTGTTATGCGGGTTGAGGTTGTCAGAAGCGGAGAGGACGGGGAGCCCGCCACATCAGCAATTTTGACACGTGATATTTTCAGATTATCATCACCGAATATTTTTGCGTAGCCGCATGCTCGTCATTCGCTGAAGCCAGCGCCATGCATGAGATATGAGATGGCTGAGGGAACCTATTGGAGGCGCCAAGACAACAACAAACATAGCCTCCCGGTGGCTTCAAATCTTTTCCTCCTGAACACATACTGTAAGGGTGCTCCGGCATATAAGAAATATTCATGGTAAAGATATTGCCATAGGTCTATCAACCTAATACAATCTCAACACTTCGACGTGCCCTCTTGATTGCGTCAAACGTACCACAGCAGGGGTTAGTGATGACTAATGAGCCGCTTGGATCGGATCCGGAAACGTGGGGGCATGCGGGCATGGCACCCATAACAAGGACTACTGCCGTCTAACGCGGCCCGCGCCGAGTGGATACATAGAATACCGGCCACGACCTGGGCGACATGACATGCTTGATCTGAATCCAGAAGGGAATATTCAGGCCGGCAATTAATAAACTGTAAGTAATTACTTGACCTTGTCGAGTATGTGCGTATACAGTCAGAGATGCTTTCTAGACTTATGATGCCTAAAATAATCCATGTAGCATCATTAGTTATTGAAACCGCGGATTAGTTTAGGCTTGGATACAAGATTGTATGACTCCAGAAAGAGGAGGGAGAGAGTAGGATATATTAAACCAATAATTTCCAGATTTATGATGCTCTTTCACAGGTAAATGCAAGCGTGAAAACGCAGGGGAAAAGACAGAAAAATATCATAAATTAATAGAGAATAAGGGGGAAAAAAAGAGAAAAAAAATTTGATCATCCCACCCGCCCTGTAAGTGCATGACTACCCACGCCCACTGATAGCCCACGCCCACTGAAAGCCCACGCCCACTGAAATCCCACGCCCACTGATATTCTCAAAGTCGAGTAGCGGATCGATGAGGAGTGATAAATACCCAATGACCTCAATCCCTAATGCTACTCCCGAGTTGTGTAGGGGCACCCGGAGAGGGGCGACCTTGAAAATATCTTTGTCATGCACCCAGAGGGAATCGAACCCTCGACTTTTTCATTTCTTGGAAATGACAGTTGACCCTGACCACTAAGCCAACACCTCTTCTGAAATCTGAAAAATGGATAGGTTATTTTGCATTATATACTTTCCGTACCTCCCCTCTGCCGGTTGCCCTTGGGTTTCCCAGCAACATGGTACCTCCCCACTCCTACCATGAACTCATCGTATCTTCCACGGATTACTTTGGTGCATGCTCACCTGTATTAGCCATCCACTGTCCCGTAATGTTTTTACTGAACCAGGCATTTCCTAGGTAACCCACTTACCTTCCGAAACACGTTGATCATCCCTAGAGTTATCTTATTCACTCCACTACAAGAAGCTATTCAGTATTCAGTATTCGCGATAGTTTGATAATTTATTATCAAAAGCCAACCCTCTATTCAATACTTTACTCATCCATCCACTTCTACCCCCATCCATCACATCATTTTCTCTACCTCTCAGAGCCGCAATCATCCTCCACATGTCGACGCACTATGGCGCGCAACAAGAACCGCCCTCATCTGCACCCTCTCATGCACAAAGGGTTCAAAGGGGGTCTGCATTGGGACACTCGCGGAGAAGATGAACCCCAGAAGCCAGATTCAGGGCTAATAATTCGACAATGCCGATTCCTCTTACATCATCCTCACTCATTCCACATTGCCAACATCATAACGAAAGGACTCGGCATCAAGAACCGGCTTCCCATCAGTATGGCGTTCAGATATATATACCAATTCGCCGCGGACAACATCCACCACTGCTACCGCATGGAACCCCAAGAGTTCTTCGCTCGAGCTAAGAATGGGTTTGGTTGGTCAGAGAAAATCTCCGATGCGGCGTTTTGGGCCTTCACCTACAAGGCATTCCATGCGCGAGCCCTCTTCCTACACAACGTTCTCCGGCCAGAAGAGGACATTCCAAAGGCAATGCCTTTGGCCGAGGCCCTTGATGAATTCCGCGAGACCTTTGACAAATGCTACCCAGTGGAGCACGCTCAGCTCGCGGAAGGTAGTCAAGCCTATCAGGAAGACATCGAGGGAGTGGAAGACCACGTCTCCCTAAACAAAGCACTTAACTCGAAGTACTTTCCCGATGACCTAACCCATCCGAATGCCGAGGGCGATGGAACAGATAAGCCCGTTACTAGGATCCGAGTTCTCCACGAGATTACCGCAAACAAGCCTGCCGAAGTCACCGAAGAGGAATATATCGATTACACAAAGATCCCAGATGAGGATCTCTTTATCCTGGACAATGTGAGGGCTTCGTTTGTCGACATGTTCAAGAAGTTAGAAATCGATGAGCAAGACCCGAAGGGTGTCAAGGAGGGCCGTACTCCGGCAGCCGAGGCCGGCACGAAGAGAGCTTATGATAGCTTTAAGACTTGGCGAGAGAATGGAGATGGTCTAAGAGGTGGTGAGCCCGACGGTGATAATAACAGCGCTGCCGCTGGAGAGGATCAGGTTGAGGTTGAGGATGACGAGGAAGTTGTGGGAGGATCCAATGGAGACGATGGCATTCCGGAGATGAAGAAGCTTAAAGTCTGCGACTAGACTTAAGCATGCCGTATGAATGGATGTAAGACTCCCATGAACAAGGTACTACGATAACCGAGTTTTGAGTGGTATACTCAAACGGATACCCGTTAGGAAAGGCACGAAGAATGGCAAGTATGGGGAAAAGGGTTGCATTATAATTTGTCGTTGATGGTCCCATGAATACATGCGATTATTTCTAAGCTGCTTACATAAATGGTTCCGTGATAAGTCCTTGTTATTGAATAAATCGTAAACTTTTCGTAATTATTATAACCCATTATCGACATTTTTTCTTTTAAAACAAGAATCTCTGGCATTCATTCCGTCTCGCGTGGTTCCCCTTTAACCCCTAATCCACCACTCGCCCGTTGGCCCCACCTGTCGAATATCGTGCCAGCTGGCAAAGTATCGGTGACGCCCATTGCAGCCGTAAACAACACAGCACCAAGCCATCGCACAATTTTCATTTTTCCATTTTCTCACCGTCTTTCAACTTCAATTCTCGAAGGACTGCGCATTCCCGAGAACAATCGGTATTAATCGGTCACGATGTCATTGTCCAATGCCAAGGTTCTGTCTTCAGAACCCCTCGTAAGTACCCGACTAGATCCTGTCTAATTGAGCCGCACCCCCTAACCTTTTCATAGACCAACAGTGATGCCGTGTGGGCCAAGCTCGTGAAGTAGGCAGTGGTGGAGCGTCTCCTAGTGAGCTGCAATTTAGCTTTACTGACACCATAAATTTAGGCTGACTTACACTGATTCAAAGAGTCAGACACGTACCTGGGAGTCGGCTGAGCGTACCACAAGACCCAAGAACTGCGATATCGATGGCGTCGGAATTGTAGCTATTCTGGAGAAGCCTACGGGTCCCGAGATCGTCCTTCAGAAGCAGGTTAGTACTTGAGTCTTTCATTGCCCATTGATCTAGCCTGGGGCGAGTTTCTGCTCCAATAGATACGTCGCAACCTCATACTGCGTTTACATCTCCTAACTTCAAAGGCGAAGTTCCTCCTGTCTCTCCTACTAGCATTTCGAAAGAAACTCCAATCGCTGACCTTGAATCTACATTAGTACCGTGCACCCATCGACAAGATCTGCATCGAGGTTCCAGCTGGCCTCATCGATGAAGGCGAAAGCGTCGAGCAAGCTGCCCTTCGTGAGCTGAAGGAAGAGACTGGCTATGTTGCTTCCAAGGCTTCTGAGACCTCCTCTATGATGTTCAACGGTAAGCCCTCCGTTCCATTTCTGTACCAAAGTTTCCGTACTTCGCCATGCCACTTGACCAGTATGGGTAGAACTTGAAATGAAGTACCTAGAAACCACGAGGTAGACAGCACAAATCGGATAATGTGGTGGTCTTCAAATTTCGGGTGCTAGAGATATTTCTACCTCTCCCGAGTTTGGTCTTTTTCGTTCTGAGGCGGGGATATGCTGACATAGAATGCTAGATCCGGGATTCTGCAACACCAATCTTCGCATGGTTCACGTCGTCATTGACATGAGTTTGCCCGAGAACCAGAACCCCCAGCCCGAGTTGGAGGAAGACGAGTTCATCGAGGTCTTCCTTGTCCCGCTGACAAACCTCTACGGCGAATGCAAGCGACTCGAGGCAGAGGGTTACGCAATCGATGCACGAGTAGGCACATTTGCCGAGGGAATCGAATGTGCCAAGCAGTTCAAGCTATGAACCTCGCAAATCCCGGATTTCTAAGCTTCTAGGTGAACTCACGGATTGAGGCAGAGCTTTGAGATCGGAACTATCCACCCTTACAGTGTACATCATATGGGCTTTCGGTTGTGTTGTTGAATACCCCAAGCATAGAATGTACTCGTCTAACTAAAAGCTTTACCTTTAAAGCTGAAGTTAAGATACCCGGTGTTCAGGTTCGTTTTCCTGTTCCCTGCTTAGATAATTAGATTGATAATTGATTTCCCTCTTCACCCAATATCGTATGATCATGATGCCGAGTTTCCCCGCCTAACCACGGAATAGCAATGCTTAAAGTCATTGATCCCAGCACAGGACCTTGTCGAGAATTAGAAATTCCCATTGCTGAGTAATGGACAGGTTAGAAAAAAGCTTTCAAGTTGACATAACACAATCCTCGGCAAGCCCCAAGCGACTCATATCCCCCCCAAAAGGAGTCTAACTGTAACTATCAACGGCTTCCGAGGAGTTAACCAATAAAACTCTCACACTTCATTAGTGCCTTGGAAGTTGAGCGTTCGTTTCATACGGCGGCTATTCAAGTACCTAACTAGGTAGCCTTAGTATAATGCATGTTATAGGGGTGCGCATTAACCGCCTGCACAATGATGTAGATCCCTCTCCAATACATCAGCCATAGACCCCGGGATTGAACTTTGATTAATTTACATTTTAGCTTATCATGGAAGTAGATTCTTTACTGATTGGATAGCTTAAAGAACCCATATACGAGAGCCTTGTCTCATAAAGAATATTGCAAGTGGCAGGCAAGTTCGGATATATATCATTTATAATCAGATCTTGGTTTATGATATTTTTATTCAAAGGATGGCCAAGCCGGCTACATAAAGAGAAAAGAGAAGCATCCCCCATACACTAGCACTTTACCACGTTCTATTCATACAACCAACCAACTGAGAACCCCCCCTCGTGCGAGTACAATTCAATGTTTCCAATGTATCCCGATCGCCCTCAAGATTACTTCGCCGCCTTTACTATCAGGGTAGCGTATATCTCCCCCGTCGATGCCGTTAAGAAGTAGCGACCAACGCCACCATTCGATTGCGCATCCAACACCGCCTGCGTGAGGGCCGTGTACAGGTCCGACGAAGGGACTCCTTGCTTGAGCGAAGGCCAGTTGCAAGTGCCGGGGGCGCCGGGGTAGCCGGTGGTGGCGTAGATGAAGAGCTTGCCGTTGGCGAAGTCGTCCGACACCAACATCCCGGTCTCAGCCGTGGTAGTCGTGATCTTCCTCCAGATGTCCGTGACGACTTGGTTCACCGTCTCCGACGCGTAGACGACGGCCGGGCCCGCCTTGACGGTGCCCCGGCGCAGAACGCACCGCGCCGTCGAGAAGAACCCCGTCGCTGCGTTGCATTGGTCTTGCACGCCGGCGCGGGGTTGCAGATCCATCATGGCGGCACGTCTCTCGCTGAGCCCGGGCCTGAGCAGAGGCACACCAGGTTTATCCGCTCGTACGAGGCTCACGGAAGGGTTTGCAGCGTCTGCATTCGCAAGAACGACGTTCGCGCTGATAGCGAGGAGGCTGGCGAAGCTGGCAAAATGCATATTGATTTGAAATCTTGTAGATACTAGAAATTTATATAAATAGTGGATTTGAGAAGTTCCTGAGGGGACCGAAGGGTCTCGTAGGTAGTAATGTTATGAGTGCAAAATAATGAATTAACTTTATATTTGTTATCCTCGGCAAGTAAGCATCGTGACACGGCGTCAGCTAGTAGAGGCTGAAAGGCAGGACGTGCTTCCAGGACTATAATATGACAGATTGAATCCTCTAAGATTATC